CAGTGACAGATATCCTGGCCCAGCGGGAGGGCGTGAGGCTGGAGACGACCCCACCCTGGCTAGCCATGTTTGCAGACCAGCCTGCCCTGCCTCGCCCCTGCTCGCCTGCCTCAGTGGCCCCAGCTCGGACCCACCCCCTGCCCTGGGGGCGCCCCAGAACATTCTCCCTGGACGCTGTGCCCCCAGACCACCCCTCCGAGGCTCCCCGCTTGGTTGCCCCTCTCCCTCCGCACCGATCCCCACGTTCTAGAAGCCTCTGCCGCAAAGGCTCACCCCGCACTTGGCTCCAGTCACCAGTGTGAGGAAGGTGCTGGCAGCAGAATCCGGCCAGGAGAGGAGAGGACCTGTGCGCCTGGGCTCTGGGGACGGTGCTGTCTGCAGCAGGTTGGCCAGTGGCCTCCCTTCCTCAGCTGGACTGGGGGTGGGTGGGGGATGGGGAGCCGAAGCCCCTCTTAAGCTATGGTTGTCATGGTGCTGAGGGACTCATTCCCAGGGCTGGCTGGGACCCCCCTGAACCCTTCCTGGGAGAAACTGGAACCAACCCTGCCCTACCTCCTGCACTAACCAGCTTTGAGGACGGCACTGGAGAGCGCCGGGAGGGAACACACCTTCCTTGTGACTCCTTCACCAACCATTAAAGTTATTTAACAGCAGCCTTCACCTGGCTCTTGACATCAGGTTGCCTCTCTGCTTGGCCCGGACCTGCCCCGTCCCCTCTTCCCTGGAGCTTAGTTCGCCGGCTGTGAAAGATGACTTAGATCCTGAGTCATTAGACACGGGCTAGGCGGAGGAGGCACTTTATAAACACCACAGGGAGAAAGGAGGGCTTTTCTGTTCTCACTCACTGCTGAATCTCAGGATTTCAGCGAGGTCGTAGCCAGTCACAGCAAAGGAGCTGCCTGAGGGGTCACAGAATCGGGCACCACACACCTGAGTGTCGGACACACACTCGCCGTGACAGTGTTCCACCTGGGGGAGAGAGGGCTGCTCAGGGCCGCTGCCCCATGCTGGCCCTCCGCCCCCTCTCCACACCCACCTCGGTGCAGCCACTCTCCGTGCGTTTGCTCAGCTTCCAGATGTGTACAAAGGTGTCCTCGGCTGCAGAAAGTAGCTGTTAAGAAAAGGCAGGGAGGATGAGTGGGAGTTGGAAGGCTGACGAACTGGTCCAGGTTGGAGTGCTTCACCAAGCGGCAAAGATGAGCCTGTGGAGTTCCTCTCAGCATCCCCCCACCAGGAATCAGGGGTGCAGGGGTGGAGGAGACTGACCTTGCCCGCCTCCGGAGCCAGGTCCAGGGCACAGATGGCCCGGGCGTGGGCGCTGATCTGGACGTGTAGAGCTCCTGTACTGGTCTCATACAGACGCACTTGCCCGTTCCCGTAGCCCGCTGCTGCGATCCCCTTCCACAGCTGCACGGAAGTGCATGGGACCCTGCAAGGGCAATGCCCCACTTGGATGTCCCCACACCCAAGCCCACTCCCCACCCTGCAGCTGCTTCAGGGAGTCCTCAGCCCCTTCGCCTCACCTACCCAAATCCGGGAATTCGGGTCAGTAATTTGAATTTGGGGCCCGACCGCCAGACACAAAGCAAGCCTGAGTCGTCTGCTGTCACGACGTCAGCCATGCAGTCCTGAGGGGAAAGGCAGGGTCAGCCCTTCCCTCTCTCCCCTGCTGGGTCCTGTGTACAGGGAAGGGAGGCAGTATATGCACCTTGGCTTCTCGGGAAAAGGAAGACATGGAGCCCTCACAGGCTGGAAGCAGGGTTCCCTCAGGAAGCATAAAATGCTTTCCTTGCATCCCTCACAGCCCCCCCCCACACACACACGTTAGGAGGGAGTATATCACTGTACTCAGTGGGTGGATGATGAAACAGGCCATAGTGTTATGACCTGGAGGTCTTAGAGTAAGCCACAGTCATAACTAGGCTCGGCCTCTGACTCCCAGCCCTAAGCAGCCAGCATAGCCCATGGGCCCGGCTCTGGGCCATATTCAGTAGAGAATATGAATTAGAAGATACAAACCCCATTCTCAAGAGGTTTGCAATCCAAGAGTTTTCATTGAAGACAGTACCAACTCAGGGGTCAGCTAAGGGAGATCAGAGAGAGCTGGAACAGGGGGAAGACCTCCTGAGAGGGTGGTGCTGGAAGGAAGCTGCGCATGTCAGAGCTGGCAAGCATCTTAGAAGCCGTCTGTCCCGACTCCTCAATACACACGAGCATGAGAAGTGTTAGTGGACCACTGAAATGCCACGTGAAATACCTCTGGCTTCGTCACTGGGCCTGAGGTGCTGAAGCCTAGGAGAGCGCAGCAGTTTGCCCAAAGTCATCCAGCCGCTTAGTGGCAGAGCTAAGACTTGCATTCAGGTCTCCTGCCTCCCAAGGTGGGGAAGGACCCCAGGCTCACGGGAATGAGAAGGGGCTTTCACTCACCTGTTCCTGGGCAGGCTCGCTGGCAATGTCGGTGACTGACGTCGGATGCCCCGCCAGCTCTTCACTCAGTACAATGTTGGGACCTTTGGCTGGTATGTCAAATACCAGTACCCGGCCTGACCACATTCCTACAAAAGCAGTATGTCCTAGTCCTCCTGCGTCTCCGGCCACCACACTCAGAACTCCCTCTGTCCCAGAAGCCTTAGTAACAAATCCATCTCTCACTGCCCCAACAGTCCTGTCCTCCATGACTGCCCTTATTCTCCCTCACCCTGCCTCTCTGATCCCGTCCATGGCTCTTTGGAGTCTCTGCCCCCTTCACTTCCACCCTTCCCTTGAACTCTCCACAATTTCTTCAGACCTGCAGCATCTTCCAGACCAAAGCCCACACCTTTATACCCCAACACCCTCCTTCCCCCGCCCCCCACACACATACACACCAATGCCCTGCCCTCGGGCCTCTCACCTACACAGATGAAATGGCCACAGGAAGCAATTCCTCGGGCAAACATTGCCTGTACTGAGTATGAGAGGGGAAAACTATTAGAAACAGTGCTTCTTCCAGCCCCAGCTAACACTCCCTACCCACACCCAACTCGGTCCTGCAGGTACCTGGAGAGGCATCTCTGGAGTCCAGCGCGTGCCAATAGACCATGACGGAGCCGTCAGACTCATACATCTGGAGGGACAAGGGCAGTTATGTCCTATACCAGGGGTGGGGAAACTGTGGCTCTTTGGCCCCTTGAGTGTGGCTCTTCCACAAAATACCACGTGCGGGTGCGCATGTACAGTGCGAATGAAACTTCGTGGCCCATGCACAGAAGTCGGTATTTTGTGGAAGAGCCACACTCAAGGGGCCAAAGAGCCGCATGTGGCTCGCGAGCCGCAGTTTGCTGACCACTGTCCTATACTCATGTTAGCCTTAGCCCACGGAACCCTCAAAACAACTCTGGCAGGTAGGTACTTTACAGAGGAGGACAGAGGCTCTGATAAATTAAATTGCCCAAGGTCATACAGCCAGCAAAGGGGCAGATATTGGAGAGGGTACTTGGACATTTTTTTATTTTTTAAAATTTTCAGAGAGAAGGGAGAGAGAGAGAGAGAGAGAGAGAGAGAGAGAGAGAGATAGAAACATCAATGATGAGAGAGAATCACTGATTGCCTCCTGCACAACCCCCACTGGGGATCGGGGATCAAGCTGCAACTCCAGCATATGCCCTTGACCTGAATCGAACCTGGGACCCTTCAGTCCGCAGACCAACGCTCTATCCACTGAGCCAAACCAGCTAGGGTGGCACTTGGGAATTTAAAAAGATGGAAGGAGTGAGAACATTTGAGATCTTGCTCCCTGCCTTATGCTGTAAGTTTGGATCAAACTCTTATAAGAGTTTCAAGAAATAAAAAGCATTTAAAAAGATGGAAGGAATGAAGATGAGAAGTAAGGAAGAGTTGGCTAAGCATGTGTAAAGCGTGGGAGTGATTAGAGGCAAGTGTGAGAGGGCGTGGGCCCTTGCAGAGGAGTTGAGAAGACTCTAGTCGGAGAGGGCAGGAAGGTCCTCCTCTTACCTGTATTCCTCGATGTGAGGTGAGCACCAGCAACACCCGAAAGGGGAGGGCACACCAGTGGACCTGGAGCGAGGTGGATTAGAGTTGGGACAAGTGGTTAGCAGAGGACATGAGGACTCAGAAGAGCAGAAATTCAGAGGGTTAGGAAAGGCCTATTCCTTGAGGTTTGGAGAGGAAAGGGCGGGGTTAGGACTGGGTTCAGCAACACCACTTCCAACCTCATTCCTCACCTGGGTGATAAGTGGGGAGCTCACTCCAGCTCCCTCCTTAGCGTGGAGCTGGCGCTGGGCCAAGGGCACACCCTCAGGAGCAACGCTGAGAAGCTGGGCGCTGGGTCCATGCACGACCCCAAAGTGTGTGAGGTTGCAGACCGGCAGGTGCAGCACACTCAGGTTGTTGCACAGGGCGGCAGCCGAGCCTCGGAGAGGGATGGAACGCTGCCGGCGGAACATCCTAGGGGACAGACGCTCCAATCACCAAAAGCTCAGGGCTAAACAGAAGACAGCAATGATTCCTCCCGGAGGGTGGCGGGTGCTGTCATGAGACACTGGGGGAGACCCCTGAGACTGGGTCATGATGTAATGGGAGGCCCCCAGAGGGCGGTCTCATGGAGCGAGAGAGTGGAGCCTCAGGCTGAGTCATGGACGATGGGGGAACCCTAGAGGAGGAATGGTGATGGCACAGGATCCGGTGGACCCCAGCGCCCGAGCCAAGGCGGGTTAAGGCAGGGTAGTCTCCAGGCCCTTCCACCCCCGGTTAGGCTCCCCGAAGCCCCATGCCCGGGTTAGAGGTCACACCAGTAGCCCCTGGTTGGCTTGCCTGACTCCAGGATCGCTGGGTCCCTCCGAATCCGCCGCCACCATAGAGACGACGCACTTACGCAGGCCGATGGGCGGGGCGAACCACCGGAACCTGCGGCGCGCGGCGCGGTTGCCGGGGTAACTGTAGACAGGGCGAGCCAACCAGCGCACAGCGTGGTTGCCGGGGCGACCGTTAGGCGGCGGCGGCCGCCGGGGCGCAGGGAGCCGTAGAAACCTCGAGGTTGAAGACAGAGGCAGCGATGGCACACGAAAGCTCGGTAAGCTTCAGCTCAGCTGGGGGTGCGCCAGAGCCGGGATCGGCCTTTTAAGGTCGGTGTCGGGAACCGTGGACCAGCCCCGCGATACCCGGTGCCCGCCCAGCACGCCGGCGTTCAAGATGACCGTGCGCCAAAAAACCTATGACCACTCACATGCTTTGTCACAATCGGAAGCGGAGGGAAAAGATCGAATTAGGTGCAGAGTCCAAGAGCAAAAAATTACTTCGGGAAACAGCTAATGGATGTAATACGTCTCTTGCACTGAGGTACCCATTTAAACTGATTAACGAGAATTGGCCAGGGATTGGGGAGAGGAGTTTGCTAGATAAATTATCCATTTCCAGAGTTTCAGGAGGAAGAAATGGATTAAATAACAACAATCTTCTGGCTGCACTTGAAAATCAAACTGTTTTAAAACAAGATAATTTAAAATAAAACATTTGAAGAACCTTCGTGTAACAATATCCCAGGCCCCTCTGGTCAGGCCACGTATAGGCACAAGAGAGTCTCTGAACCCTAGCCGGTTTGGCTTAGCGGATAGAGCGTCGGCCTGTGGACTGGGGGGTCACAGGTTCGATTCCGGTCAAGGGCACATGCTCATGTTGTGGGCTAATTCCCCAGTAGGGGGCGTGCAGGAGGCAGCCGGGTTCTATCTCTCTTCCTCTCCCTTCCTCTTTGAAATCAATAAAAATATATATTTTTAAAAAGAGAGAAGCTTGGAGGGGAAGTCTAAAGAACCGACTCTCCTCGCCCAGCCCTACCTGGCCTGCGCTGTCTTGAACTGGTCTTTGGGGCTGTTCTCACTAGCAGAGAGGGGAAATGAGGCTTAAGGGATTTTGAGTCCTCTGTGAAGTTTAGAAAACATCAGATCTGAGGGAGAATTTTAGGGAATATCAGGTATCAGTGAGGTTGGGGGTTAGGAAGCTAAGGTTTGAGAGATTCCATCTGGAGGTAAATTTTGGAGGGAATCAGGTTCAAGTAGTAGACTCTTATGGGGAAGTGAGGAGGCTCCCAGGAATCTACTAGTAAATTCCTATGTCCTGAAATTAACTTGGGACCTAGTCTTTATCTTTTTAAAAAATAAATATATTTTTATTGATTTCAGAGAGGAAGGAAGAGGGAGAGAGAAACACCAATGATGAGAGAGAATCATGGATTGGCTACCTCCTGCACTCCTCCCACTGGGAATCAAGACTGCAACCTGGGCATGTGCTCTGACTGGGAATTGAACCTTCACCTCCTGGTTCATAGGCCAAGCTCAACCACTGAGCCACGCTGGCTGGGCATCTTTTATCTTTTTAAGTAGATTTTTTTCTTTTCTACTGCTGCCCATTGCTCCCCTGGTTGCAAGTCTCATGGGGACCCTTAGAGTTTAGGAGATGTACACCTGAGAGGGAAGAGAGGCATGGGCCTACTCCCAGGAGGGAGAGAGTGCCCGGGGTCTTTTGCCTTGAGGGTTTCAAAGACTGGGAGTTTAAAGGAGACATCTGTAATGTTTTCAACAATAAAGATAAGTTTAAAAAATAGCCTGGTCGGTGTGGCTCAGTGGTTGAGCATTCGACCAATGAACCAGGAGGTCACGGTTCGATTCCTGTTCAGGGCACATGCCAGGGTTGCAGGCTCAAACCCCAGTAGGAGGCATGTAGGAGGCAGCCAATTGATGATTCTCACTCATCATTGATGTTTCTATCTTTCCCTCTCCCTTCCTCTCTGAAATCAATAAACAATATATAAAAGTAAATAAAAATAAAAGCTGGGAGTTTAGGGGGTGGGGGTCTTAGAGGAGGCACGCAATAGAATATCAGCTTCATGCTGATGAACCAAAAGGAGATTTATTCCCTTACCCTCAACTGTCCTTAGGTGTGGCTGACACAAATGACACTAATTGGATTGCTGCTATCTATCTCCCTGAGCTTATAAAATAGAGAAAAGCACAGGAAAGAAACATACCCACTGCTACAATTTTGGTGTTTTCTTTTTCTCCAACACATACAGGTTTACATTATCTGAGACCATACTTCTTTCATTCAACATTAAATCTTAAGTATTTTTCAAATTCTTCCTAAAGATTACCTTTAATCATTGTATAATATTGCATCATGTAGATAGTATACAATTAGCCATCTATTCTCTTTTTGTTAGACATATGTGTTCAATATTCTGCTATTATAAATCACACCACAGGGAATCTGTTGAAGAATATATATATATATATATTTCAGAGAGGAAGGGAGAGAGAGAGTTAGAAACATCAATGATGAGAGAGAATTATTGATCGGCTGCCTCCTGCATGCCCACACTGGGGATTGAATCTGCAACCTGGGCATGTGCCCTGAATGGGAATCAAACTGTTACCTCCAGGTTTATAGGTCGACGCTCAACCACTGAGCTACACTGGCTGAGCTGAAGAATATATTTTAATTTTAGATTATACATTTGAATGCATTGATAAAACTATAATTAATATTTTTGAAGGTTAGACATGTTTTCAAATATGTATTAGTCATCTACAGTTCTACTATTTATTTATTTATTTGAGAGAGAGAGAGAGAGAGAAACATAGATTTGTTTTTCCATATTTATGCATTCATTGGTTGATTCTTGTATATGTCCTGACTGGGGATTGAACCCACAACCTTGGCATATGGGAACAATACTCTAACCAACTGGGCTACCTGGCCAGGACTACCGTTCCACTTTTGTGAAATGTTATGTCCTTTGCCTATTATTATCTTTGGAGTTTATGATTGTTCTTATTTTATTTTATTTATTTAAAAAATATTTGTATTGATTTCAGAGAGGAAGAGAGGGAGGGAGAAACAACAATAATGAGAGAGAATCATTGATTGGCTGCCTCCTGCACAACCCACACTGGGGATCAAGCCCACAACCCGGGCACGTGCCCTGATAGGAAATCGAACCAGGACCTCTGGTTCATAGGTGGATGTTCAACCACTGAGCCATGCTGGCCAGACATTCTTATTTTATGAGTTTTAATAAATTTAGGAATATAAATATTTTTAATATTTGCTACAAATGCAGGGTGGAGCAAAAGTAGATTTACAGTTGTATGGAAAATAATACAATAATAAATAAATAATACATGAATAAGCTATGTTCCGTGTACTGTAAACCTACTTTTGCCCCACCCTGTATTTTTTTAAAATATATTTTATTGATATTTTTACAGAGAGGAAGGGAGAAAGATAGAGAGTTAGAAACATTGATGAGAGAGAAACATCAATCAGCTGCCTCCAGCACACCTCCTACTGAGGATGTGCTCGCAACCAAGGTACATGCCCTTGACCAGAATCGAACCTGGGACCTTTCAGTCCGCAGGCCGACGCTCTATCCACTGAGCCAAACCGGTTAGGGCCCCACCCTGTATTTTTTGTTTGAGAAGCAGTATAAAGTCAGGCTCTGGAGTCAGACTTGCATATAAATTATCACTCCACTACTTTCTTGTTGTGTGAGCTGGGAAAATTCTGTAAAATGGAAATAAAAATAATATGTAGTATAAAAAATGCAGGAATTGAGCCCAGATGATGTATGCAACTATTATACTCTAAGTGCCGGAAAATGATAACTACTAATACCAGCTTGCAAATTAGGAAAGTTTATAAAAATAAGTACAGGAAAATTTGACAATTTGACAGTCACACCACAGGGAAGCTATTGAAGAATATACAGTTTTTTCTTACCCAGAGATTATATGACAAGTTATACTATTTTTGCTGCATTTTATATTTTGTTTATATTTTTGTTTTATTTGTGTGTATGTGTGTCCCTTAATCCATCTGGAAGTTATTTAGATGTATATTGTGAAATAAGGATTTAAGTTGATTTGGGGGGGAGGAGGAGACTCTAAGCAGCACCAATTATTCCAGCACTCATATATTGACTCATCTATTTCAAATTCTTTACCTCTCAAGAACTGTGAACACTTTGGACTAGTGCAAATAACAAGGACTGTGGAGTTGGAGCCATATATAACCTGGGTTTATTGTGGAATCCCAAGCAAGTTCTGGTTAACTGTGGCAGGGTTCAGTTTCTATGTCTGTGAAATGGGCTCAGTGAGCTGTTGTGAAAATTAAATTAGCTAGGTCCAACACCTGAGAAGCACCTGTCACACAGTAGGCTTACTTAGAAAATTATCCCTTTCAGAAGGCTTTTCCTTCCTACTAGACCAGTGGTCGGCAAACTCATTAGTCAACAGAGCCAAATATCAACAGTACGATTGAAATTTCTTTTTTTAAAATATATTTTATTGATTTTTTAGAGAGAGGAAGGGAGAGGGATAGAGAGTCAGAAACATCAATGAGAGAGAAACATCAATCAGCTGCCTCCTGCACACCCCCTCCTGGGGATGTGCCCGCAACCAAGGTACATGCCCTTGACCGGAATCGAACCTGGGACCCCTCAGTCTGCAGGCCGACGCTCTATCCACTGAGCCAAACCGGTTTCGGCGAGAGAGCCAGATTTTTTAAACTTAACACCATATAGGTAGGTACATTATTATTAACTTCATTAGGGTACTCCTAAGGCTTAGGAAGAGCCACACTCAAGGGGCCGAAGAGCCGCATGTGGCTCGCGAGCTAGACCAATTGAGAAAGCTTCCCAGAGCCTGTAGCTGCTTCTCTCTCCCACTCCTCGGTTTTCTGCCCTGTTGCCCTGTTCCCTTCCCACAGAGGCAGGTCCGAGATCGCGGGGCGACCAGATCCAAGGCGGAAAAGGCACGGCCGCCTACTGTGCCAGTGCCCCAGGTGGACATCGTTCCTGGGCGGCTCACTGAGGCCGAGTGGATGGCGCTCACAATGGTGGAGGAGGGCGAGGACGTGGTGGGGGACATCTTGGCAGATTTGCTGGGGCGTGTCATGGACTCTGCCTTCAAAGTCTACTTGACCCAGCAGGTGAGCCTGGATGGAGCCCCCCAAACCCATCTACCCGCTCTCCCACCCCTTCCTGCCTGGCTGAGACCCTCTCTCGCTTCTGCAGTGCATCCCTTTCACCATCAGCCAGGCCCGGGAGGCCATGCTGCAGATCATCGAGTGGCGTTTCCTGGCTCGAGATGAGGGAGAGTCTGCAGTGGCTGAGGACCCCACCTGGGGAGAGGATGAGGAGCCCTTGGCAAGCACAACGGATGCCTGGGCTCAGGGATCTGTGCCCCCAATGCACGCACCAGCCTTGGTGGAGCTGGAGGACTTCTTCCGATGTGAAGTAAGCCCCCAGCTCCCTCTGACCCCCACCCCTACCCCCAATGCACCTTCGTTTTCCTTACGGCCTCTCTACCCTTAGTTTCTCCACCCTTAGCTCCTCTCTCCCCTTTCTGACCTCTCACTATCTACCTCCCGTCCCTACCTCTGGTGCATTTCCCCAGGACCAAGGGAGTGTCGACCAGATTTCTCTAGGAAGATCGTTGACGGATGGAGGCTGTGAGGAGCAGATGGAATCCTCCAAGCCAAGAGACACGCTCAGTCCTCCGCCCATCCCAGAGCTGTTTCAGGAGGCAGGCCCCAGGGATCCTTTAGAGGAACTGGAAGATCAGGAAGGAGGCCGCCCGTCTTCGGCAGGGTCCAGGAACATGAGCCTCCAACAGCCGTCAGCATCTGTGAAGATAGTGGTGGAGACAGTTCCCCCTGGGAGCCCCCATTCTTCTCTGGAGCAGTCCCTGGCAGCCAGCTCCCAGGAATCGGCAGAGAGCACACGGCCCCTCAGCTCCCAGGTCTCACTAGAGGACCTCTATTTCTCACCCGCCACTGAGGACCTAAGTGAGCAGGTGTTCAAGAAGGGCGAGAAGCCCCATGCTGCCTTGGACCCCATCATACTCGGCCTCTCCGAGTCCTCCCAGCAGCCTTGGTGGATGGGCTCACAGCTGAGAACACTTCCCCGGAGGGCGGGCCGCAAGGCCTCGGTGCTGCCGAGCCAGTGGGTGTGCCCAGAAGTTGAGGTTGTGGATACAGACACTGAGGCACGCCCCCTGGAAATCTACCGCAGGCCCCCCCAGGTCGAGAAGACAGAGGCCCTGGCCAGACGCCAAGCTATTGACTCCAGTTGCCGAGCTTTCTGCCCTCTCCCTCCCAGCGGTC